TGCCTCAGTCCTGTGTGCCTCAGATCTGTGTGCCTCAGATCTCTCTGCCTCAGATCTGTCTGCCTCAGATCTGTCTGCCTCAGTCCTCTGCCTCAGATCTGGGGACCTCAGTCCTGTCTGCCTCAGATCTGTGTGCCTCAGTCCTGTGTGCCTCAGATCTGTGCGCCTCAGTCCTCTGCCTCAGTCCTGTGTGCCTCAGTCTGTCTCAGATCTGTCTGTCTCAGTGCTGTGTGCCTTAGTCCTGTCTGTCTCAGTCCTCTGCCTCCGTCCTGTCTGTCTCAGATCTGGGTACTTCAGTCCTGTCTGCCTCAGATCTGTGTGCCTCAGTCCTCTGCCTAAGTCCTGTCTGCCTCAGTCCTGTGTGCCTCAGATCTGTGTGCCTCAGATCTGTGTGCCTTAGTCCTCACTCTGTAAAACCTTAAAATACTGGGTGGAGTCCAGCCACCTGTTCTCTTGAAGATGAGGCGAAGGCAGTGCAGTTGTGTTTCTTACTGAGGAAAAACCAGAGCCTGGGAACTAACCCTTCTTCTTGTTCTCCACACTGACGAGGTCTTCAAACACAGAAGATGAGGAGCAAACTGCTTCCAACAGGGAAAAGCTGCTCGACGGAGACGGGGGCAAAGGGGAGGAACCAAAGAACGGCAGGACACAGGGACGGACCAGGCAGGGGGACACTGTTGCAGGACGGAAACGTTTTGTAGTTTTTTTTCACCAGCTGACATTCGATCTCCTTCTCGCAAAACAGAAAGACGGGCAAAGTGCCCCTGAATTTTGCCCCTTCTTCTCCTGTCCCCCTACCTCCCCACTGTGCCACATGGGTGGGTGGACCGTAATCAGTGACGCACAAACCACACTTCCTGTGCAACAGCGGAGGGGGCCACCATCAGGAGCCCTGTGCTGCAGTCACAGTGGAGACTGTGACTCGTGCTGCAGCTGGGCGGATGTCCACGGGTTCTTCAGCAAAACCTGACACTGATTCGCCTGTTGGAAACAAAGAGGAAATGACTTCACTACAGCTTGAAGACACATTCAAATATCTTCACCAAAATGTCAGTGTCAATGTGTCTGTATGAACCCCTCTCTCTCAGTGCAGTGTTAATGT